CAAAAATACATGTATTAAAAAAAAGACATACAAAAATAAAATTTTAATACATTATGGACATTAAAAATAATTCAAAATAAAAATAAAAATACGTAATACAGGTGATCAGATTTTACCACATCGCCAAATTGTAGAATTTTCATTTTCCTTAAACTACATTTTGCTCCTGTCACCATTCATCCTTATCTTATCTTCCATACCCACTCAATGATTTACCAAGTTTTTAACCTTTTTTTTTTTTTTTTTTTTTTTTTTTTTTTTTTTTTTTTTCTACTCCGGATGTGAGTGACATTTTGTGGCATTGACTATTCACTACTCGTCTCAAGCCTGAATAGGAAAGTTGTGTTTGGTCTAGTAGCCAACGTAAAAACTTAGTCATATTTTAGTGAAAATTTTACGGTAGTCGTTTGAAATATGACTATCATAATGTTTTAATGATTATATAGTTTATAATTGACATATTTTTTCCAAGTAATTAGTTATATTACTTTATTAAGGGTAATAAATAGTATTATCAACATTTTTTTTATATATCAAATTTCTAGTTTCATTTATGTAATTTTTATTCTTATTTTATAGTTTCTCAAAAAATATTTATTTTATGTTGGATTAAAATTTTCAAAATTTATATTTACATCGTAGATATTATAAGACTAATTGTGGCCATTTTAAAACGTGAAAAAATGAACCGATCATGCTATATATCATTAAATAAATATGGTAGTCATTTTTCAAATGACCGCTGTAAAATCTTCCTTTTTGTATGAGGATGAATCAATAATTTGAATTATCTTGTAACTAATGTTTATTGTTGTTGTTGGTGAGGGAAAAGAGTGCAAAGACTACAAACTTTACAATTCATTATTGATTGGTTTCTAAAGATGTTGAGACATCATTAAGATCAAACCAAAATTTAGGACTTGATCATTGGTTGATATTACTCCGTCTATAATTATATTAGATTACAAATATTACTTATTTTTTGTTCTATTTGTCATTTGTACAAGTTTTTAATGTACACATTTGATTATTATTAAGACTTTACTTGCATAATTTGGAGCCTACACTTAGTTGCTTACCAATATGTAAATTATAACTTTACCAATCAGTAATACGAAGTCAAATCTAATAAAAACACGCATATTATAGGTCAAAGGAAAGTAATTTGAAACTACTTTCACTGTTTTTTTTTTTTTTTTTTTTTTTATTGCCTCATATTCCTCTTTATGATGTCCCTTTAAAAAATTTCTATACTATAAATAGTACTCTGTAATCTGTATGTCTTTCTTTCCACAAACTTAATGTCTCCACTTGCAAACCAACACATGGGCAATTTTTTTGCCAAAGGCTTAATAAAGTAAACTATACTTTATCAAGTAATGGATAAATGAACGGAGGAAGTACATATTTTGCTAATTACCAAATTCTAATTTTCTATGTATCCCATTGTTGGCATTAAAGCATAATCCTTAAAAGATAAATCTAATATAATAGTATGTTGCCCTATTTGGAGGGTAGTAAAAAAAGGCAAATTGAATTGATGAAGCCCCCTAAAGCCATGGGCCATAGCAGCCAAAAGTTTGGAGGCTTCATTTCTGGCCAAAAACTGGAGTTTAGTTGGTGCATTTTGTTCACGTGTCAAACCAGGATAAGTTTTTCAATATCTCAAATAGGAGTATTAGATTATCAGTTCTAGAGTAGGCAATGTGCTTCATTAACCCCTTTTTTTTTATTATTAACTTCAAACAACTCCTTTACATCTCAATTAGATAAGTGAAATTGAAATCAATGTGCGTAGTAAGACCTAATCGCTCACGAGTTTCCTAGTCAAACTTTAACAAGTCAAGTAGAAGGATAAAGAATAAGAAGATCCATCGCCTTAGTCAACATACCATACACTATAGGTCTATATTCCTAACCTCCTAAGTGATTATAGCCTATGTGATAGGTATGAGTATTTGGTTGTAAGGTCTAACCCCCAGCTGTGTTTCCTACTCAAACTTTAATAAACTATGTAGGAAAGGAGAGAAATGATAAAGAGATCCCTATGTCTTATTCACATACCGCTATACTGTATCCGTATAGTGATTATAACCTATATACTATACATGATAGATATGGGCATTTGTTTGTAAGGCCTAACTCATCATGATCTGAGTTTCCTACTCAAACTTCAACAAGCTAAGTATTGCTTAAGAAAAGAGAAAAAGGATAGCGAGATTTACATGCCTTAGTCACGTATCCTTACGCCTTAGTCGCATACCACTAGACCCTTGAGATATATGAGATATACAAGTAATACAAGTGTCAGTGAATGAAACTGTATATAGTTGAGGTTATAGTAGCACAGTTAAGTAGAGAGTACACCATGTACAGTTGAGAAACATAACTAAAGCACTGCGCAAAAGACGAAGAAAAGGTATCATATTTGCTGTTCCCAAAGAAGAAAGGACTCAGGAAAAACAAAGAAAAAAGGAGTGTATGTCACAATACTGATTCTTCTTATTGAAGATGGGACAGCCTTTGAATTCTGATAAATGTAACACCTATCTATAGCCTATTGGTCACACTTTACAAGTGGTAGGAGTAAAGATTTTGGCTAACCTCACCCAAAGGACAATTTCACCCCACTACAAAAGCTTAGGTCTCTTTCACATATTTTTATCAGCATTCCTTCTTAACATTTACAGGACTATATTCCAAACTTCAAACATTTCGAATATGGCCCAAATTCTAATTATTCCAATGTCTCAAAAAAATAAATAAAAAACAAACAAAAAAAAACACTTATTAGGTACCTACCATAATATATCAAGCTTCGGGAAAAAAAAAAAAAGAAAGAAAAAAACATGAATGTGTTTACACATAGTTTTAGAGAAATTGATCTTAGCTTGTTGGTATTACATAAAATTGAATAAATTATAATAAAATAATGTGCAAATTAAGTTGTTGCGGGTTTTTTAATTGATTGTGTGAAAAATAAAAAAAAAATCTACAATAAAATTGATTTATCAAGAGAGAATATTAATAAAATGATACTGTAGTGATTAAATGTCAAAATAGCAAATATGTAAAGATAGGTACAGAAAGACAAGTAGTAAAAATATCTATAGCGTGCACATTGGTACTTTTAGATTAGCTCTCCAATTTCCTTCATTTTTTTAGTCCACGTGTTTTGACTATTGCACCATTAACGCACTTCTCTTTGATTGTGTTTTATGATTTTTACGTAATGAAAAATATAGTCATGTGGGATATTGTTAACTCCGTCACGGTATATATTTTCAAAATATCAACTTTTTATGCAGTATAATTTTTGTTTATTGGTAGCTAAAGATATCAACATAACTAAAAAAAAACTTGTTAATGAGCAATGATTTTTAAAGAGAGAAACTTAAAAGACAATTTTATCCCAACAAAAGATGTTCTCGATTGTTTCCGAGAAATGTTAGGATATATTTATGTTAAGTTAGATATATTTTATGAATATATTTGCATATATCTTGTTAGGAGTTTTTGGCAAGATAGGTTAATGTTATAAGCCTATATATATGTGTTTAATGGTAAAGGCTCGATCAAGTCATTTTCGCCTAAATTTCTTGTGAGTTTAACAAGAAACTCCCCAATTATAAAGAATATGGAGTATCTAACAATAAACCACTTTTTTTTATTAATAAAAAAACCAACAATGAGCACATTTGTTAGACATGTATGAGTTTACTCCAAAGAACTTTTGGAGAGGGAAACTTGAGAGCAAATTATACACCAACATCGGAGGCTTGGAGCTTTAAATTTGCTACTTTCTTGTTTTACCTACCATAACTCTTCAGGCTTTTTTGACTCACACATGATTGGATTTCCATAGAAAGACACTTACCATTGTTGTAGTAAGCCTCGAGAAGAAAAGTTAAAATCAATTACATAAAACTTTTAGACGACATACAATGAACTGATTAGCGTTACTTTGTCATCAACCTTTACTAACAAAAAAGGACTATATCGAGTGGTGGGGTTGCCGTAAACAATTCGTGGTACAACCCCATGAATCAGATTGTAACACAGCTGAACACTAAACAGTTTATTTTAGTACAAAAATAACCCATGTTAATGAATAAAAGTGTGCAATACTTTTCAAGTGCTTCATTGGGTACCTTACTGCCCTTAGGGCTAAAACTCGAGATAAATTTGGCAAAATACTTGGCGATTAAGACTATAAAAAAGGGCAACTGCTTTCGGTTTTTTTTAAGGAGGAATTATACAACGTTAATCAAATCGAAAACCTTTACTAGTAATACAACTTGAACTTTTAACCTGCATATCGTAAGGTGCAGCCAAGACTATTTTATCTATTTCCTCGGGTACAAGTACATGCAAGGGGAGCAGGGAGATAAAATACGAAGTATAACCTTCACATGAGATTTCATTGTGAAGAACTTATGCAAGTTTAGGTCATCATTTGCAATCGGCACTCTGATCAAAACCCACTGTTTTTTTTATTCTAGCATAAACTAATAGACTAGGAAAATATTGGAAGTGTGATCTCAATGTATGTGTATGTGTACTTGTACTTTAAGAATTACTCCATAACAATTGCAAAACTTCAATTTATATTCATTTAAGGTAATTGAGTAAGTAATTTGGAACAAGTGACTAGCTCCAGAACTTTTAAGCGACAATTATTAAACCAAATAAATTGGTCTCAACAATTTCCTATGGCAAGACAGTGAGAAGACGCTAAACTGGCCGCGACAATATTTAAAATACACAACGTATCAGATAGGAGCTACGAGGGCAGTAAAGGTCTGACTACAATATAAAGCATACCATACTTTCGATGAATATCATCGCGATTCAACTGTCAACCAAGATCAATTAAACCAGTCATATGGCCTGATAACTACGGGGTCTCATACGCTGTCAATAATCTTAGATGCCACAATAGATCCTATAAGGTCTCAACCAAGGCAGGTGTCACACAAAATTTACTACTAATCTACCAATAATAGATAAAAATTCAAGTCAATACCAACATCAAATCCATACGTTTACTAACATCTAGTTTCAAATGAAGTTCTGAACATAACAAACTCTAACCTAGAACACTTCTCTCACCAAGAGAGTGCAAGTCTTTGCAGTGTTAGAACTGCACAGTATAAACTAAATACGACACAGTATAGATAAGAGACAAGAGACTTTCAAACACCAGAGTAAAGTTAAATGGCAGGAGCGATGCACGATCAGCAGCTTAAGATAAACTCACCACCTTTGTCATCCTCAACAATGTACAAGACTTATCCATTGGACGACATTTCAGTAGTTCACTTCTCAATAGCCCCAAAGATTATGATAAAAATAGGCTGAGGGGCAGAGGAGGGACATGAAATCAAAATTCCCCAAACAAATTACCGAGGCACCAGAATCAACACAGATGAAGAAGGCAAAACTGATTTTACCATAATCAGATCCCAAAAAAAAACCAAAAACAAAAAGACCCATAAACTCCTGCCACAAGGTCAAGATATTACATACACACAAAAGGGGGGGGGGGGGGGGAACAAAGAGAAGGAAAAAAAAAAAAAAACAAAAACAAAATTTTTTAGGATTCTTCTTCCACAGTCTATCTTTTTAGTTGTATCTCTCATTCTTTTTGTTTTTTGTTTTTTTTGGTTTTTTTTTTTTTTTGTTTTTTTTTTTGAGTTTTATAGTTTAATATATCTGCTTTGCAAAACATGGTGTATTTGCAAGTCATGATCCTGAATAAACAGATTATACTCACCAAGGTCATTCATTCCCTGTTCCTACATTCCACATGTTTCCGGATCAAATATAATCAGCATGATCCTCGCATGAAATAATGGCTGGATCCAGGTGATCAACATCCACTTGAGCTTGCTCCATCCTTAACAGACTTTGACGGGCTATGCAATTCCCCAGAGGATGATCTAAAGATTGTAGCAGCGTTAACATCTAGCTGAGCCTTAGGATGATTCTGATCAATGGTCTTCTCATCTACTTTAAGATTTTGAAAATGAGCTGGCAGTGTAGCAGTAGTTGGAGAATTGGGAGATTGCGAGCCAGATGCAGTTGAATCCTGCACAGTTGTTGGAATAATCCATCTTACCCAATCATCACGTCTTCTGATTTTTTCACCCTGCAATCGTAATTTAACACAATAACAAAATATAAGAACAAATTTACACTCAAAACAATTTCAAAAACCTTGCTCTACAAATCAGAGTAAAAAAGGATGGGTGGTAAATAATTAAATCAATCGAGCAGGCATGAATATTACCTGCACTTCAACAACAGTCGAAGACCTCACAGCATCCAATATGTGCTGAACATTTTCTGTCAACTCCATGACCTGAAATCAAGTTCCAACATAACATTGACAAAGAGCTACTGTGTAATATATAGTTTGAAGAGCTGAGACATTCCAATAACCAAAGTAAGATGAAAAGGGAATCAATGGTCATTTCAAGAGAAAAATAGAACGGTGAAAATGCATAAATTTTTTGCATGACTTCCATTTATCTATACCAACAGCTCATAGAACATATAAATTTCATACTTGTGATACAAAAACTTCAATAATACTGTGCCAACATGATTGTGACTTGTGTAAAGATACTCTCTTGGTCCAATTTAATATTCTCATACAATTTTGGCACAGTAAGAATTTGTTAAATGAGATCAAAATTTAAAAGAGGGTCAAGTAAAATTGAAAGAGCAACAATTAGATTTGAGAGAAAAATAGGTTGATGAGATAAAGAGAAAAAGAAACCTCAACTGGAAATGGGAAAATAAATTTGGGGACATCTCAAAACAGTGGAAGATGAATTAAGGACATTACGTTATGGAAAATGAGAATAGGGAGTAATATAGACTCACAGGCAGATTTTACGAATTATAAAAATAAAAAAAAAACTAATTCCCTAGGTCTAAATTTTCAGCTATAGACTTGCAAGGATATTGAAGAAAATCCAAAATTACCAATACTCGTAATTATATGCGTAAAGAAAATGCAGAATTAGGAAAAGCTGAAACATATGAAAATGGAAAGAGGGCAATAGCTTTGACATGGTAATATAAAAACAGCAACGACATCCTACTTTAGAGAGTAAAAACAAGGAATCCTACTGCCCTATTACTCAAAACTCACAACAAGAAACTTCATCTCTTGACGATACTCACTTCCATACACTAGTCACATATGGACGACATAACAATGTATTAAAAGAGCTCTGAAGAGAATAGAAGAAATAACGAAGAAAAGAGGAAACAAATAACCCAAACTCCACAACTGGTCAAAATGAAATTGGAAGAACAAAAGCCCCGACATGGGGGAGGGTGCCACATAAAAGGGGCATCAGCAATATAGAACCAGAATGAAGAGGGCTGGGGGGAGGGGGCCCAGGAAATGATGATCTCTTTTCACTGATAGCAGATGTGTTCATATTCCGCCAAGAGAGGGATTCTTGTTGGTTATATCCTGCTTTGACCATGATAGTTGTCCTACAATGCTATGAACAAGATGCTTTTACTGCCCTTTGGAATACAACATAAATCAGACCAACTTTCTTTTAACCTTCTGAAAGAAAGTACTACACACGCAAATTTCATAAACAAGCAATTGCAAAAATAGGGAAATAGTAACAACAACGGTCTGAAACTAATTAAAAACATGGAAATCTACAAAACTTTCTTCAGGCAAACCGAGTACAGCTAGAAGATCAATCAATCGATCAATATCAATGCAATGTCAAAGAAAGAAAATCAAAATCATTGTAGTGAGTTCCTATATATACAAACAAATCAGTGAAATAAGTAATCCAACCATGTTGTCAAACATACTATCTCAAACATGATGATATACAAATAAGTGGCATTTACGCAAAGGAAAACAGTGCAGGAAATATTCATTTAAAATCAAGAAAATAAGATCATCCCCAGAATAATCAATGACAAAACATATGCAGAAAGCCTGTAGATAGCAATCTCTAGATGTCACAGCACCCTATAACTCAGATAACCATCAACTTAATTCCCTCTCGAGCTTATACTTTACAATCAATATTTGTGACTTCACATTTACTATCCTCTACAATGAAATCAATAAGCAAAATTTTCGCTTTAACCAGCCTAGAAACTACATTTAGTCAGTAAACCTACTCTCACATGCTTCATACCCATCTTACATTCCTCCCACCTCATTCCAACCCCAAATCTATCCTCAAGTGCAGTGGTAATACCCTCCAACCACTCGTCATCCGAAACAAAATCAGTAGACTTAAATGAGTAAATTCCATTTACTGCAAGACCATAAATGACAAAACAAATTGGAGAGAATGAGTGGTTAAAGTTACATGGTGACAAAATAAGGTTCTTTGGGAAAGAAAAAACGAATCCATCTTCTAATTCAAACATGCCAAAACAATCTACCAAAATAATGTATATTCAACACTATGTCATCTTGTTACAATTCAGGACATACAGATACACCCAAAAACAAGACAGACAGCAGGATCAAAGACCACAAGACTCTCTCTCTCTCTCTCTCTCTAAAACTGATTATCATTTTTCATATTACCCTCCCATTCCCCATTGCATCCATGTCTTTTTCTTTCTTTCATAACACTTCATCTTACTTTTTCTCACCATTTGCTTCACATTATTTCAATAATATTCAGCTATTTTTTGAAATCATGCAAATTCAAACCGAAAAGTTAACTTTAGGACAGATATCATGAAATATGTTAATGCTGCATCACTCTTGCATCAAAACTAGGAGTGCGGGTACTACAACATGGATAAAAATGGGAAAATTAACAAGCCACTTGTAAACATTCACAGATTCAAAATACAGGTGAGACAGATCCACATAAAAGGAGAGCAAGTTGCAAGCAATGCTATAATATACATTATATAGGTAGCAAAACAGAGCGCTCTACATTGCAATAAACATATAAACAGCTACATGTGTTACAGATATGTAAGATTTCAAGCAGAAAAGCTCAGTAAGGTCAGGAGATTAAACAAAATTCAGCAGGTTAGATAGACTACATGACATAAAGGTGCAATTATACATCATGGAGGACCTTACAAAAGACTCAGAACCATCGACTTTACTGGTTAGATAATATAACACATTCAATGCTCCCACTATTTACATAAAACAAACCACCCCAAATTCAGTTATGGGAAAAGTCATTACATTAAACATTCAAGGTACAGAAAGAACCAGTTTAAAAACCTGCAAAGAGCAAGGTACAGGAAAATACAGACGAAAGAAGACACCCATAAAGATTGACCCAAGGTACACAAAGCATGGAATAGAGCAACATTAATCATTGATTCATTGAGAAATTAAGAAGATTGTAGTAAGAATTCATGGTAAAGAAAGAATGCCAGGACTAAAGTTACTACCAGAGTATACTACAAAGTATATAGCTCGTCAGAGACTCAGAGTTATCCAGCACCCAGAACATTTTAAGATCAATTTATTTTTAAAACAAAAGGGCACAAGATGACAATTGAACAGTGGGCACTGGGTGTTAAGAAGAACCAAATAAAGATAGGAGCAAAATTGTGTCACGAAATTTCAATTACAATCAACAGGCAAATAGATCAAATTATAAGGCAAGAAGAAAATCGAAATAAAACTTGCATCAGAACGAGAACTTACTTTTTTAAAACCCGCAATCAATCTAACATTAACCCAACCCTGTGAATCCATTTGTTTCCGCAGAAATGTGTCTTTGATTAAATTCTCATTGCTGTCAAAACACAATAAATAACTCAAAATGATTGAAAATGATTACATCATCAATTGGTTCAGAAATACCCTGTACGGAAAAGAGGAAGTCCCAAATGAGTACCTGAAGTAATAATCTATCTGATTCACTATCTTAGTATGCAACTGAGGATCTAGACCAGCATGAATATACACAGGTGCAGGTGCAACAAAAGGCACACCAGGGATATAATACATAGGCATCTCTGAAACATTCAAATAAATTAGATATGTACCCATCCAACAGCACTCTAGCCAGCAAGCAATTATGAAAACTTACCAACCCCTATATGGTTCATAAAAGGTCGCATAGGTGGAGTTTGAACAAAAGGAGGAGGAACAGGCTGGGCTCTCACAAATCCTCTAGGAGAGACTCTTGGTTGCATGGTAGAATCCCTCCCATTAAAACTCCTCTGATGGTTCCAATCATGATTCCCACGATCCTGATCACCGCGTTTCCCCCCATAATTCTGATGAGACCCATCTCCTCGTGAATGGGACCCACCACTCCCCCTCCTGTATGAGTTGCGCGGCTGAGGATGATCCCCACTAGCATTCCGTAATCCTGGCTCTCGGTGACCATGGTTTTGAATGTTGTCTCTGCCAGAACTGTCAGAAGCACCACCAGAAGTAGGTTTTGAGGAGTTATGATTATGATTGTGTGAACCTTCCACAGCAGATGAAGGTTGATGAGAAAAACCACCATTAGCTTGTGAGTTTCCCCCACCATCCCGCTTCATTGATTTTTGGCGTGCTGGACGTCCATGGTTTGACATAGAGTTATGGCTCAAATTACTAGTTGTAGGCTTTGGAGAAGCTGATGAAGATTGTGGCAACGACTGTACTGGTGGGGCTATTGACAACGATGATGATTCAGATGCAGTTACCTAGAGCAAACCAAACCATCACAACCACAACACAGACAAATACAACCCAAAAAAAAAAGACGATGATGATTGATGACAAATCAAATTATTATCTTCAAGTAAAACATATACACTTCATCCGGAGTGAAATTGATCAATATTATCACAGAAGAGGCAAATAAAAAACCCCAAATGTTTCTTTCTCACATCATCCACACCTTCCAACCAATGCAAAGTACAATACACAATCAACACGCAACAATATTAATAACTCGATATACAAACCAATAGCATTAATTCAGCCCCCTCTAACATCACCGTAAAATCCAATGCTCTAAAATCCCAATAAAACACCATCACTTCAAAAACCCAAATACATCCTCCACACCATAACATCATGAAACAAACAATTCCGTCAAAAAACCCAAATTATAATAATAAAATACAGGATATTTATACAAATATAAAAAATTATAAAAACAACATGTTCCCTCGGATCCTTTAGCCAATAAAACTATTTTATTTACCAAAACCAATGCAGCATCAAACATCACTTATAATATCAATAAATTTATTTTATCAAAACAATACTAAGCCCCAATTTTACCTAATAAAATCAGCCGAATTTATAATTTGTACAACAGATTAAAACACGGTGTATATATATCTAAATAAACTTTAAATAAAAATCATAATTTTCATGATCTAAGAAGCAAACAAATTACCAAAAAAATAAAAAAATAATCAAAGAAATTAGGGTAAGCAAACCTGAGGAGAAGAAACCGATCCAGAATCAGGGAGACTTTTGGAGGAATCAGGAGAAGAAAGCTTAGAAGGAACTTTGTTTTTAGTCTCAAGAATAGTGGGCCAAGCTGGAGAGCCCATCACAACTGGGCCAGGCCCACCATTCTCAACGGGTCCATTAGGCGGTTTCTTATTCCAAGCGGGCTTTTTACCACCCGCATTGCCCCCACTATCGGAGTTCTCCGCCGGAATCTCCGGCACCGGTGAAAAACTCCTCTCACCTGGTTCCGCCGGCGACTTCGGAGCTCCGGTTGGCTCAGATACCGGGCATCGAACGGCACCGGACCACGAAGGTAACCCGGCCCGAGTCGAACTCGGCGAAAGAGTCGCGCCAACGGCGGCGGCGGAGGAGGAGGAAGAGGAGAGAGAAGGAGAAGGATTGCTGTTAGCTGTCGCTGCCATCAAAATGAAGAAAATTCCAAATTAGGGTTTTTTTTTTTTTTGGTTTTTCTGGGTATTGGTATCACTCGGTGTATGACAACGAGTTAACTTAAACGATCAAAAAAATAAATTTAAAAATTTTGTATGAAATTGGGGGAAGATTAAAATTAGGGTTTATAAAAATTAAATTTTTTAGGGAAAGATGAAAGAATTGTATGAGAGTAAAGAGGGATCGAATCGAAGGTAGAAGAAGGAAGAAAAGCAAATTCCTTTTCTTCTTCTTGGTGGTTTCTCTCTCTAGGGGTTTTTTCTCTCTCTAAACACGAAGAACAACAGGGGAGGGGATCTTCTTCTCTCTCACTCTCTCTCTTCTTTTTTTAGGTTGGGTATTTGTGCTCTGATTTTTTATTTTTTTTTTAATTTCCTTTTTTACGAAATTACCCTGGTGTTTCCGTTTATAATGTGGGATTCCGGATTTTTTTTATTTTCTTTTTAAAAAAAAAAATAAAAAAATTGTGTGAAAAAGGGTTGAACATGCTAAGGACTCTCCATTCTAGGTTAAAAACTTACTTACAATACATGTTAAGAATCCTCCCATAATGAGGGTGTCCTAATGTTTATTTATTTTTTTATTTTGTATGAATATCTTTTTTTAAAAAAAAAAAACTCTATATTTTTTATTTTTTTTCTGTGGAAGAGAGGGGCAAGTCCCAAAAAAACAAGCACACAAAAGAAATAAAATAAACTCCGGATTAACCAATCAGATTAAACCGTGTGCACAAAATGATTTTGTAATTGCGCAATTTGTTAGTTTGTTATTTTTTTGTTTTCACATTTATTTACCAAAAAATATTGTCACTTTGTCAAAATTATCAAACTTAGTATAATATGAATAATATCAAAACAGAAAAAATACAGAGTAGTGTATTTGATTTTTTTATTCAAGGAGTTCAAATAACAATGAAAATAGATGACTCAATTATTTCAAGCAAATAATTAAATCAAGATATAAATAGATTATTTTGAAACAAGATTTAGTATAATTTATTTATGGTATTTTGATTTAATTTTATCCGATATAATTTATCAAAATAATAGATTATATTATACCTATTATATAAGCCAATTTCCTATAAGAATTACACCCTTAAAATATCTTTAACTAGTTTTTTCCCTATGTAATGCACGGATTCATAATAATAAGACATGTAAAAAATCATAGCCAATTAAATTGCAATTAGTTTAAATGAAACGACTTATATAACAATTTTTTTTTTGAAAGTTGAATATAATTAATATCTAGCCCTTTCTAACTCTCGTATTACATATATAATTTAAAATATTTTTATAAATTATTGTAAGATATTCATTAACTTTTTTATCATGTTATTTTTAAGGAAAAAAAGAAAAAGCAAAAAATTATTGGCTGGAAAATTTTTGTTGCGAATTCGACACGTGTACTTTTAAAATAACTCTGGTGATATATATATATATATATATATATATATATATATATATATATATATATAATATATATATATATATATATATATATATATATATATATATATATATATATATATATATATATTTATTTTGAAATAAAAAGATAGGTTTTGCAATCTTTAAACGATTAACTTATGCTATTTGTTTCGGGGTTTTCTGATGTCCTGCGGGAGAGTTACAACACCGAGACTGGAACCGGCCGCCTGTACCTGCAAAATAACGGAGACTCCTGAGAGCTCCGCCTCCAACGGTCAAGTTAGTACCTGATTAAGGAGTAATGATTGCGGAAATAAAAGTAATTGGGTCTCTCTAGGTGAGAGTGTTTAATGTATAATTCGAGAGTGATTAGCGTTCTGTCTCTGATTCTCTCCTTTTTTGTCCTTCTCTTAATGAGGATTAAGAGGAGTATTTATAGTCTTGAGAAGCGTGCCACTCTCTAGGTTTAGGGTAAACCTAGGGCTGACCGGGCTTCTAAACAGGATTGGGCCTTGGTGGCCGGTTTTCCCATTTGGCATGGGTGAACACATGGCGTGTCTCAATTGGTCCGCAGAGGACGAATCTGTGATTGACACGTGGCAGGCTCCTATTGGCCTACGTGAAGGACACGTGGCGGAACCTGGTTGGTCCACTTGTCAGAAGGTGATTGGAGGATAAAAATCCCCTAATCATTTGCCCCTCACAGGTGGCACGTGACTGGTCACGTGTCGCCTGTGACAGGTGTCGCATGGTGACAGGCGACGGCCTGCTACAGGTGTCACCTTGCAAACGGCCGAGAGATTTTCCCGCCCATATTTTGAATTTGGAAGCGACCCTTCGCCTTCTCACTTTGCCTATATAAGGAAGTGCTGACTTCGGTCATTTTCACATTTGAGAACTTTGCGAGAACATTCGGACCCCTGAACTTGCTCTGACATTTCGGACATTTTCTGCCTACCGCCTGTTCTGACAAGCCGACTGACCCGGATTTCCAGAACTTCATCAACCGTCACTCGTTCAGGTAACTCAGTTCTCTTACTCTTAATTTTCTTTTTATTTTTTGAAATGGCACCACGGAAGCACACGACACGACCTAAGTTAGTGATCAGTCGGTCACCGGGGACGGCTGAATCTAGGACTAGGAGTGCCGCCTGCCCTTTTCTGGACCCATCTTTGCCCTTTATACAAAGTCCGACTGTATCTGTGTCTATGCAGAACGTGATGGCCAGAACCAAAAAGACTGCCATGATATCAAACTCAAACGGCTCCTCCCAAAGGGTGCTCCTTAGTGAAACATCTGACCAGGCGCCAGATGTAGAATTGAAACGAGGCGGCTGCCAAGCCGACAGTTCTGAGAGAGGGGCCAAGGTGGTCCCTTCCCATCTTACCGTTGATATGTCTAATTTTCCTCCTGCTCCTTCTAGGGGAGAGGAGGCGGGCCCCTCTGGGAGAGGGGAGGAGTCGTCCTCTTCGGACTCGTCAGGGGACGAGTCCGAGTCCAGCTCTTCTGGCCACAGTTCTCCAGGCTCAGAAGAAAGAAACAGTCGCCTACAAGAGGCGAGGCTTTCTCATGCAGTTGAGAAAGGGGACAATTGGGCGGAGCCGTCCGCCTCTTACAGAGAGGAAAACGCCCCCTACTACTGCAAGGTACCCCGGGGCCGGATCGCAACCATGCAAGACAACGTGGCGAGCTTTATTGCCAACCACAGAATGGGCCCGGAATTTTTACTGTTCGTGCCGGACCCAGAAGACACTGTCGTCTGGCCGGCTGGTACCAGCTATGATGACGGCTGCTTTGGCTGCTATGTGGCGGCCATCAAAGCTGGACTGCGCTTCCCATTACATCCGGCTGTTCAGCGGATTTTAGATGGGTATGATTTGGGGTTATGGCAGTTAGCCCCCAACTCTTGGGTAAACGTACTCGGCTATGTGGCCGGGTGCGAAATGTACGGGGTGGAGCCAAGTTTTGAGGCTTTCGCCCACATGAACTATCTCAGCCGGACCCCTAAGTCGGGAGGTACCGGCTGGTATCAATTAACGAGCCATAGGGGTTACCTCATGACGAGAGGTAAAGCGAACAAATGGAAGGATTGGCGGAACACCTTCCTTATCATAGAGGGTTCAGACACGGAGCTGAACCAACGTTTTAACAAGTGGAATAGGGATCCGCCTCTTCTCGCAGGCGGCCGCAGCATGCCGCCTGTTCCCCCAAAGGCTAAAAGAGAGATCCTAGACAAAGGACTCTTCAAAGTAGAGACTAGGGTGAACCCTACGTCAGGGGTACGAGAGCAAGTACCCCTAAACTGCGTCCCGAGCTTCAAGTGGCTCTATGACGAGTACTTTTTGGCCGCCTGTGGCCTCAGCAGTCGGTGCTCTAGAGGTAGCCGGCCTGACGAATACTCTGTTTTTTCAAGCCTTGTTTACTTGAGATTTTTACTAACTTTGCTGTTTATTTTTTGCAGCTGACGCCATGAGTAAAATAACAGCATCCAAGACTGCGGCGGCCATGTTGCGGGCCTCGCTTATGAAACAGTCTTATGCCGACTCCCCCAACAAGGGGGCACCCTTGGTAAGCTTCGAAAACTCTTCCTCTTTTAGTTGTCTTATGCATATACTAACTCTTTTTGTTTTCAGTCTGGCACTCCAAGGGCTTCTTCCTCGCAACAGCCGGACCCCAAGGCCCGGAGGACGACTGTTGCAAGCTCTCCTGGGTCTTCCAGGAAAACGGTGGCGGCTGAGAAGCAGCCGGCCACTTCTTCAAAAACCCCGGCGGGGCCGCCTAGTAGTATGGACCCTCACTTGTAAAAACTCACTCTTGCTTCCTTCTTGAGTAGGTCTAACTTTTTTCCTTTCGCTTAATGCAGCCGGCCCTCAGGGGCTTGACTTGGTTGAGGTAGCCAAGTCCATGGTTAAAGTAGTTCCTCCATCTGAAAGGGAGGCGGTCAGGGGTGCCGGCACCCTTGACCTTGATGGGATTTCAGGGATCCTTGCTGAGGTATACTTAGCATATTTTTGAGTTTTTGAGTTCTAGGACGCCTGTTATCTTTTTGTTTGGAAGCTGACGCCTGTTTCTTTGTACTTAGGCCCTGCTCCGAGTCAACAGCCTTCGCAAGCCGATTGATCGGAAAAACAAAGAGGTAAAGGCCGCAAAAGCTATGGCCGCCTCCAGCTGTGATAAGGCAATGTTTCAAATTGCCCAAAATGAAGTACTGACCATTGATCTTCTTTATTATCAGGCGCAGGCTACCGCCGCTGTTCGGGCTCAGTTAGAGGCGGCCCAAAAGAAGGTTGACGAGCTGGAGGCGACCGTCACAAACCTTAAGGCCGAGCTGAAGCCTCTTCGCCAAAAAATGCACTCTTACGAAGTCATGGAGAAATCTTTGGCCAACGTAAAAGAACGCCTGGTGAACCAAGAGAAGAGTCTTACCCAAGAGCTCTCGGAAAAGGCCGAGCAAGAGAAGAAAGAGCTCGTCCGGGAGATGGTGGAAGACTCCGCTCAAATCCAGCGCATGACCTGGGAACGACTGTTCCCCAGTGCCGACTTTGCCTCCTGGGAAAGAACGTACCGCCAGTGTTCGGAAACATATAATCAACAGATCCTGGCGGCTGCTGAAGACGAGGCATTGGAAGGTGCGTTGGAGGAGGAAGAGCCGGTTGTGGCGCTTGTGCCACTTGGGGGTAAGGCATCAAAAGATGGTGCAGCTAAAGCCGAGTCCAGCAAGAAGAGTGCTGACCAGGCGGCAGCTGCCGATACTGAACTGCCCCCTTCTTAAGCTTTAAGTATTTTTTTTTTTTTTTTTTTTTTTCACGGCCTGCGTGCCGTTTGCTTTTGTAATTACCCGGCCAGGGGGCCGGGGTTATGAATATTTTTCATTAATGCAATCATTTTTGGTCTTGAAATTTGTCTAAGTGTTGAATATTTGCTATTGCTTTGTACACTATATCGACTGTTTTGCATGGCCGATTGTAGATAAGTACGGATGGTCCGCCTATGCCCCTGGACGACTGGT